TTAAATTTGTTATTCCATGCTCTGCAGAGCCTTCCGATATATCTATCATTCAAGGGTCTCTGCACCTCTGCACCTACTGCAGTTAACTTGTACAAATTGCAGTTAAATTTATCGAATGTTTTTTATCAAGGTCTCGAAACGGGTTCAGTACCGTCCTGCTGTCATATCGTGCCACAACCACCGTGAAATGACGTGATAAAGTCGCGTAATTAAAATATGAACAGCGTTCATCTATTGGACCGGCATTTGTCTATGGCTTCCATCGGTGGCCGCTGCTCCATTGCCTGTGGTAAAAAGCGGTGCTCTATTTTAAATAAATGTTTTGTGGCAAGCAAAAAAGTTATTCGTATTAGCTTAAGGATAGAAACCGGCAGCGGCTGCAACACGATGCGCGACTCTCACGGATGCGACTGCTGCGCTGCTGTTGCTGCTGCTGTGGACCATCAGTATCTGAGCTGGCGTGGGGCCAACACATGGTTGTTGGTGGTGGAAACGCAGCCCGCTCCTTGCGCTCGATCTGCCACCGAGAGCTGCGGGAGCTAATAAATTTTTCGTCGACTGTTTGCTGTTTGCCTGCCGCTATTGATCGTTAAGTAAATTGTCTGCAATTATGCCAAAAGGGAAAATAATAGAAATTATAACGAAAATGCTGTTGACTTTGTGTGCCGAACGGATGAAATTGTGGGAAGGTGCCGCCACAGCCACCGCATCTTTCTCCTCTGCTCCACCATGCAACACACCTCGCCACACTTCAATGCACTTCAGTTCTGTTTAGTTCAGTTCAGTTCAGTTCAGTTCAATTCCCATTTGTGCATAAGTGACGTGACGCGTTTTGCTGTTGCCTTTATTGCCAATCGTTTGTAAGCAGCAAATGCTGGTGCTCATAATTTTCTCTTAGGTGGCAAATTGCTGGCAGTTGCCCGGAGTTCCATGTGGGTCAAAATACACACGAATATCTCGGCTCAGTTGGATCTCTGTCTGAGCATCTTGACATTCATATTTATAACTCGTGCAAATTCATTTAATTGTTTGTTATTGATAAGTGAAACTTACAATGCATACAACGATAACAGCTGCGACAGGAACAACAACAACAACTTTGGCGGCCCACATAAGCCAAGAGCCAGCAAACGAAGCAGCCAAATGTCTGGCTAGTTGCTTGGATAACTAACTTACTGAATGACTGACTTACTGACGGACTGACAACTGACCGGACAACTAGTAGCCAGAGTTTTGGGTTTGACTTGTTCGAGGCGACTATCGACATGTTACATCCGTGCCGACTCTCAACGTTCAATTAACATGAGCTGCTACGAAATCAATTAAGAAATTGCCATGCGATGCTAATAATAACTATGCCACGCCCCAAAGTCATCGACGGCCTTTCAGAACCCGGGGCTGTCATTCAACATGAGATTTGAGTAGCTCTACAGTGGCTGTCCACTGTGCTCATGCATTTGCATTCATGCGAGGGCTGCTCAATCAACTGTTAGCTATACAATATCAACCTAAGCGAAGTCAAGACTTGACTTGCACGGAGCCAAATAGAGAAGTATAGTTTGAGTTCTTCGCTGCTGATTTGCTAAATGATTTCCCACAATTTGACAAGTCACCCACCGCAAAGAGTTGCATGTTGTTAGGCCCATTTGACTGGCTGACCAACAGACTGTGGCAATGTTTGTCCTGCGGACATTTGATTGATGCATGTTCCTCGCACACAGACAAAATGCTTAATTGGCGCATATTCATGACAGGCTCCAGGCAAAGCGACCCCGCTGCCTACAAAGTGAATACAAAAATGCAGATTACATAAACGCTGAAAATGTTGACAAATGTTTAGGCAGGACTTTGATCCTGTTTTCACACATTGTGCAACACGCCCAGTGGCAGCCTGTTGCATGTGTATGTGAATGTGTTTGTATATGTGTATCTGAATATTTTTTGCCCCGCCCGCGCATTGTCACTCGTTCAATTCCAATTGGAAATCGCAATCGTCGTCAGCAACGTGTAAAAATATTTGTGTAACTGACTTCGATTTTGGTTTTTTTTCTGTTTTTAAGTTTGTTTCTGTTTCTGATTGCTGCAGTTGATGCATTTCAAATGAGTTGATTTATGGCAACATTTCGGCTGGCTTTTGAATGACTGACTGACTGACTGACTGACTTTGCTAACTGGCTAGCTGGCTGTATGTCTGTCCGTCCGGCTGGCTGGCTAGCTGGCTGCCTGTCGCAGTGCATGAATGAAGGCTTGTTGATGTTGTGACAGCTTCAAAAACTGGCCAACGCGGGCCAACTTCCAGCCAAATACATGTTAAACTGCTTTAATTACTCAGCTAGCAATGTACAACTGTGCATGTGTACATATGTACATTATGTATAGGCATATTTTGGTTTGCATTTTGAGGCCAAAGATTTATGAGAATTTCGGCCGCGCCCAATTGCTGTGGTAGTTCGGTTGCAGAGCTGCCCTTAGCCAAAAGGAAAGTTGTTGGACATGCGACGACTTATCTTAACTGACCTGCAGATAGTTTTGTTTGTAAAAAGCAACATTTGACTCCCACGCGACAGAGCAACAGCAACAGCTACAGCGACACGAATTGAAACCAAATGGCACACATGCTGCCCCCTGTGGGTGCCACGTCCTCTCTCGTCTTGTCTTGTGTCGTCTCAGTGGTATAGTCTGCGCGAACGACTTTGATAAATTCCGCACAAACACACGAGCATTTGAATAATGAAGCGGGGGCCTCGGCCACAGCATCCAATGGCAATGGCCGGCGAGCCTGGCGGGCCTGGCTAGTCGATGCCCGTGCGGCTGTTGGGGGCATCAATCTGTCAACGCCGTCGCGTTTGTTGCATGCGCGTGCGCACAGTTTGAGTTCGATGGGTTTTCTGCCACTGTCGGCTTGGCAAAGGCAAAGTCAGCAACAACAGCACACAGCAGCAACAACAACATCAGCAGCAGCAACAATAAGCAACAGTTAAATCGCGTGCCGCATGGCTGGCGCAGCTTTGTCGCCGGCGTGGGTCGTCTATCAATTAAACAAAGCGGCTGCTGCAATATCAAATGCAAGGCCGGCATGACGGCCACCCAAAACGCTGCTCCAGTTGCCAGTTGCCTTTTGCGGCATCAACAACGGCGACGGCAACGGCAACGGCAGGCATCGTCGTCGCTTCCGCTCTGAGCAGCTAACCAGTTTGGTGTTTGGCAGCAACCGTTTCTCTCCCCTTTTCCCGTCTTCAGCTCCGCCCCCGTGACCACCTTCATCCTCTTCTCGTGCAGGATTTGCCGACATGGCGCATTATTTAACGACACAATTCGTGCAACTCCCACGCATGCAAACTGAAAGCGAAAAATGCGCACAGAGCTCGCCAGTTGCTGTTGTTGTTGTTGTTGTTGCTGTTGCTTAACTGATGCCCCAGCGACCGAAATTGGCGCAAAAATGTCACCAGCTTGCACTCCCTGGATATGCATCGATCATCGCAGCAAAATGTCAAATTGGCGGCGCGTTTATCGACCCACCAAAGCAGCTTTAATGTCAGTTTAGCAATTTGACAAATGACTTGAGATACCAGCAACAAGCATTGCACAAAATGTTGAAAGCTGCGTTCAATGCAATTCAACGCAGCCCAATGATGAGAACTGAACTCGGCTATAGCCATGGGTAGAGCAATAGCTACCTGTGCGCCAATCCATCGATTGGGGTTATCGGGTGGGCCTAATCGGCGATAAAAATGTTTGCCTGCATGTAAGATCAGATGTTGACGATGCTGCCACCGCAAATCGAAGCCATCGCCAGACATTCATAAATGTTGCGCTCGCAAGGAGCATTCAAAAAAAAAAAAAAGAAAAAAAAATTCAACAAATATTTAAGCATATCGCATTTCAGCGGCAGCAACAACTGCCACAAATTACACGCAGCCCGGCGACAAGAGGCATTAATAATTGGCAAACTAAACGCAATATCAAAGCATGCTGGCAAGCGTTATCAATAAAACTGTTCAGCGGCCACGCCCTCGCACGCACTTGGTAGCGAGTGCGGCAGCCTGCAGGATGGATGACAAATTGCGCAAATCCATGAGATAGTTTCGCTTGGCGGCTGGGCAGTCGCACGATTGCATTGCCAATTGCATAATGTGCAACTTAGATTTGTATCTTTTGCATGCGGCAACGACCGCGCCATGTTGTTGACTCAAAACGCTGTCAAAATGGCAAAGCAAAAATGATTCGTGGAGATAAAGACTGGGCGCGCAAAAATCCAACTAGACCCACAAACAAATGAACACTCAGCTGGGCCAGAGAGCTGGGCTAGGCCTGGCCTGGCCTGGTCAGTCATGAACATTTAATAAACAATTTTGCACCATTTTGAAGGAAGGCGGCAACTGCAAATGCTGCGACGACTACTGCTGCTGCTGCTGCTGCTGCTGCTGCTGTTGTTGTTGTTGTTAATTGCCATCATTAGCTGTTCATCTGCAGCCGAGGCTTATCAATTATCTGGACTAGCATGGCCAGATCGTTGGCAATTAGCCAGGCTAAGCGTCTAATTAAGTTGCCCCAGCAGTTAGCAGTCTGTGCACATACGAGTTCTGATCGATGGCGTGTTAGTGGCCAACAATTTGGTTATAGGAGATGCTGATGCTTATTGCATGCGAAAAAGACACGTTCGTATCTGACCGCACAATGACTACTATTTGCAGCTCTAATTGCATTAAATTGTAGATTAATATGCATTTGCAAAAGATTTGTATATTAATTGGATTTATACACAGTTTTGTTCAGTGGGTTAAACTTTCGCTTATCTTTATCGTTTGTGTTTATGTTGCTAACATGCATCAAAGATGTTTTAGTGTCATTTTAAAATATGTTAAATACATATTTAAATTTTCCTTTACTTTGCTATAAAGATATGTTATATCATAGATTACATTTTTTTTCTCACATCGATATAACATCTGAAAATTCCAAACCCTCTGCTTATGCTGTCATGTCAGATTGTTCGATAACGGGCAGCGAGTTTCTATGTTTATTAATAAAAAGGCAGCAGAAAATATAAATGCACCAGCATCACATACAGATCTAAATCAGTGTTGTGATTCAGGGATCTGGAGTATTTATATTGCACAATCAAAAACAAAAACAAAGGTAATATTTAAATATAAACAAAGTGAGAGAAAAACATGTAGCCCTATAATTATATTCCAACCATGCCCCTCATAACCCACGATTCGGTTGACTCCGGTGAAGCATTTTGGCGCTGATCCTCGCGCAGCACCTCATCATAGAGATTTGCAAATAGACGAATTTCCTGTTCCGTGAGTGTCAGCACCAAAGTGTCGTTCAGCATATCAATGTCAATATCGAATAGGTGCACAAAGTCAGGGGTCCTGAGATCTCCATCATGATGGGTAGGTTCTGGTGCCGGCATGGCTGCTGGGACAACATGCGGATCTGGATCTGTTGTGCTGTCATTGGATGCTTCAGCTGGATCGCCAGCGCTCACCTGAAACTCGCGACGACACAGCGGGCACCGAGGATCGCCCCTCACCTGCAAATAGCGTTCTAAACAATCCGTGCAAAAAGAATGGCTGCACGGCAAGCAACAAGGCCGCTGTTGCTCATCTAAACAAAATATGCATGGATTAGGGTTAGTCTTCATGATATCGCACCTTCAAGGAAATGCACAAAAACTTATCCAACGACACTCGCTTACAAATCTAAATTCGCTTTAAAGGACACCGTTGATAGTTGAATTACACAAAAACGCTTGAATTCGCCTCAAGGTTTTCAATTTACAAAAGGCTAGCAAAAGCGACTTAAGAGGCACTGCCTACTTATTAAAATACATTTAACAATAACAAGAAAACGGGGCATTCTAATTATTACAAATACCCTGCCATCTGTACAAGTACAAATTTTATAAACGTTATTGTATTTATATTTTATATTCAAGCAACCGTAACACCCTGTTGGTATAGGTAAATTGCCTGAAGCAAGCCATTATCCCAATGCATACATAACGTTGACTTTGCTAAAGAACCTCTGTCTGGGAATATTGAATATTTTCATTAAATCTTGGTCAAAGTTTATGGCAATTTTCAATATGTTTTTCCGACAACGGCGACGACGACGACGACGACGACGCTACTGCACCCGTTGCTTTTGTTGCAGTTCTTGCTGGTGCCATTGTTGTTATTGTTGCAGTTGCTCGATTCATTCAAATTGTATTCAAATCAATTACATTCGAACTAAACATAATTCATGTGGTATGGGTTAATACAACAAATTACAACTGACATTTAAACAGAAACATGAAACGGACTATTTAACATGAGCCACAGCCAAGCCGAAAAATAAAACAAAAAAAAATAATAAATAAATGCAACACAAAGGCTGGCAACGGCCGCTGCCAGGCATCATATGAGGCAATGGGCAAAGGCAAAAATCGAGAAAACCGAAAAGCCAAAAAGTCAAAAAGAGACGAAAACAAAATTCAAAAATAAAGGCGCACATAAAATCGGAGCCACTCAGACAAACCAACAACGAGCGATCAAGGCAAAGTGACCTTCAGTGGCCACAAAAAGTGCAGCCCCACACACAGGCAACAACTTCATGGCTAAGAAAACCAAAAGAAAAAAAAACAAAAACAATAAAATTCTTTTCTCACGATTGTTGACTTTAACACTTACAGCGTCGAAAAATTACGAGGCATATTCACTGTCATTGCCTGCAAAGCCCCGCCAGAAATTAAGCTTGACAGCGTGGCCGCATAAAATGCACTCGTATACAAAGTTTTCGTATACCGATAATAATAATAACAGCGACTACAACAATAACAACAAAGCCAACAACTGGAAATAAGCTACTGTGCTGGAGACAAATTTCCAGCTGACGCGTCGGAAAGCAGCAGGAAGACTCGTGGCTGCAACCTGCAAGTCAATTTTAATTGAATCGAGAGAGTAGGAGATAAATGTTCTTTGCCGGGTCTGGCAATTTTTGCTTAATTTTATGTGCTTTGCATATTTTCACTGTGATTGCATTAAAATTTTGTTTGCGTGTTGAACTCATTTATTTGTGCTGCTTTTATCGATTTAATGCATTTCGTAGTTGGCCTGTCCGCCAGGTTTTAAATCTGTTCGCCTGCCTTTGTTTTTGCAATTAAGTGAAATTTATATTACTGCAAGTTCGTCGCTTAAGTCTTTTGTTTGCGCGTCGCACATCGTGGCACGTAAATTGCCGAAAAAGATATTTCCTACTTGGACTTGCCGGGACTGTGCTGCGTGGGCCGCCACTAAGCGCTTCCCACTCCACAGACACCCTCTTCTTGATTCTCTGTTTCCGCGCGAAGCTGAGCTTGAGTTGTCCTGGCAGCGGCTTCTCTTGCAGCAGTAGCTTATTTTAATCCGCCGCGTTGGTGGCGTGCATACATAATACATAATTACCGGTTTCACTTTTTGCCTGCCTGTGATTATCGTGGCATTTCTTGACGTTTTATTTTTTATTTTAATTCTCTTTTTTTGCAGCCGTTGTGGTTTTTATTACCCTACAGTTGTTGCAGTCATTGTAGTTGTTTTTTTTTTCTTTTTCTTTTTCTTTTTTCTTTGTAGTAATGGTCGCATCGTATGGTTTCTTAATTTTTAATTTTTATGATGTGTTAATGGATATTTTCGTGACATGACCTCCTGGCGTGCTGTTGTTATGGCCGTAGCCAAACCGCCTACTTGATGAGTTCTGCCTACCTGTCAGGCCGTCCGATTTAGTAGAGTCGAAGCGTCTGCATAGAGGGAAACCATCGCAGGCATTATGCAATGTTATGCATGTCCAGTTGAAGTGCGCTATAATTGAAGCTATTTAAAGCTTGTTTAATGGCAAGGACACGCCACGATGCATGCAAAGCCGTTCACAAGGCTGTCCCCTTCTCGGTCCTGAGCGTGTCAGCCCGCCAATCAGTTTGATGGGCGGTGCGAATGCGAAATTCAGCAACAACCCGACCGGGCAGCCGATTAATATCTTAATAGTGTTTGGCGGCGCTAGATGGCGCCCTAACATATTCGCCCGATCATCACACTTAAGTGAATTTCTCATATCCAAATGTGACCCAGTTTCCTATCAAGCATCTGCACTTCTGCGAAGTGCCTGCTCATATTGAGAACAAAACAGGGGAACGAAATCGAGATGAAGCTGGAGTTGTATCGGAGTCGAGCGAGTTGTCGCTCAAATTACACGCACAGCTCGGCTCGTAAGCTGATTACAGGCCCCGAGGCATGCAATTTGCATCAATAAAACTTGAAGCCTGGCGCGGCAACGTCTGCTGCTGTAGGTCAGTTTGTGATTCCTGTCCCTGACGCTGCCCTTAAATGCCGTTCATCTTGTGCAGCGTGGCGTTGATTTGTTGACTGCTTCTGCATTTGGTTTGGCCGTTCACTGGCTTCAATCAAGTGACGATGGTCGCAAACGAGCCAAAGGCGCGTACATTACGGATTCCAGGCCCGGCCTAACGCCCCGTATACTTTCATCTCAGCCGAGGCCGACATGTTATCCACAGCATGTCTCTTATCGGATAAGTGTCGACTATAGCGATGTCTGATTGTGTCTGGCCACTTGACCGACCAATAATTACTTTCTCCATTTTGAGTGGGCAAAGGCTGTTATTGATTTCTGATTGCCGGCATAATTTTATTATGCATCATTAAGCCGATAAAGTCTCTGCTCGTACACCAAATAACAACGCACATTTGCAGCCATTTGCCAATTGCTTATGGACTTTGAAGAACTTTAGCTTCGGAAAAAAGCGATCCCATGAAATCAGAGATATTTTCCATAAACATAAAACTTTCCAAAAATTATGTGTAAATGTGAAAGGTTCACGGCCTATCCGATATAAGTGGAAATTTCAATCGGAAACACTTTTGGGCAGGGTTCAACTGATTTGCATGTGAAAAAGCCGCTGGATTTATTAATTTACCGATTAATAAATCTTCGCTAATGATCTGCAACAAATACAAAAACAAATTTTGCTGTAAATTTAACAAAGGTCATTAGATCAGTGACTGATGCTAAAACTAAGAGCTGATTTATGCTGCTTTATGATTGTTATGAAATGTAAATGTTATACAAGATACTGGCAGATCTCGCTACGGTCTTATTAATATATGTTGCCATAGCTCGCCTCATACAAACTCTTACAATGTGTAACAGTATGTGTGTCTTAATCTCATCAAGGCTTATAGTTGCCCTCTTTTGGCCAAGGGCCCTTATTTATAGCATGTATGTGTATTATTGTGCAATTTCTTTTGTGGCAGTTGAAGTTTGCTAAATTAACTTCACTTCAGATCAAAAGCCGCCAAAAAGGCAAATCCGCAGTATCAAAAATGAAAAAAAAAAAAAAAATTGGCATAAAGAAAAAACCAAAAATAATAAAAGCTGCAGCTTCTCCACACCGCTCAAGTGTTATTTCTGACAGTTCAGACGTCCACTCCAAAGTGAGATCTGTCATAAAAACGACCTGTGCCGCTCTTGATTGTCATTTTGATTTTGGTGGATTTTGGATGACGGGCTGCCCGGCAGCCCGGCAGCCTGGCTGCCATTTCAAAATGCCTGGCTGCCCAAAAATGTATGCAGATTTTAAATTAAAGCGCCTTATCAACAACAAAAAGTACATAACCGGTTGCCCGATAGCCAATTTGGCCTGGGTCTCAGTCTCAGTTTCAGTTGATGGGTTTTCTTTTCATTTTTTGTGATTTTTTTCGGAGTGGCACTTCCTTAATTGGAGCAGGCACTGCAACAAGTGCAGCGCTAAACTATTATGTTATTTAATAAATATAATTAACGAATAATAAGAAAACAAAGCGAAACGCCAAAATAAAAAAAAAATTAAAAAAACATGCAGTGACCACTACTCATTTGTTGCCAACATTAAAATTACTTAATAATTTCCATCAAAACTAATTAATTTCAATATTTTTCAACCAAGCATAAGCTGGCCCAAGGGGCTCTCAAGACGAGAGAGTCGGAGGAGCATGCCAACAGCAAGGAGAACGGGAACACCATCGGCATCAGCGCGTTAAGCATATTGTGTTGCACTTAACCCTTTTTGCCGACTTTGTACTTTGAAGATTGTTGTTGCAACATAAAAATGCTTATTACGTGCAGCAGAACATGCAGCAAGCCCAAAGGCGTTTTGCAACTTTTATATACATAATTATTCATGTAGTTATGTGCTATGTCGTAAATATATAGTCAGGCTATTTGTCTCTTTCTCTGGCTCCCTTTCTTCCCTTTCCCACTCGATCAGTTAGTGGGTTTTTGGGAGTAACTTAAATCAATTGCTGCACACAGCGGCAAAAGCGTCAACGGTCGAAGCCGTAGCTGAAGTTGCGACCAGAGTCTCGTATCTCTCTGCAAGTCTTTCAGTCTTCGGCCCGTTCGCTACGCTTGAGTAATTTCATTTTTGGTGGCTTTGTCCTTACTGGCAAATGACTTGAAGCTTGGACGCGGCTTCCTGGCCATCTCTTATGGCATTTATGCTACTTATGCAGCGTTTGTGGCTGCTGCTGCTGCTGCTGCTGCTGCAGTGCCGCTAAAATAACCGTAATTAATCAATTTGAGCAAAGTGGCAGCAGCGGGACTTGGCGTAGGGCGTTCGGTCAACGGCAATGTCCGTGTAATAACAATGAAAACAGCGTGTGTTGCATGGGACACGGCCAGACGTGGCATATTGCTATACACGTACTCATACTCGTATTGCTACTCATGTATATCTGCACACCATAAATTATGTTCGCACAGGGTTAAGCGCATTATTTAAGCATTCATCACGCGCTGCGGCCCAGTCGCAGGCACCGCCTTGGTCCGAAATCGTCTG